TATCAGCTGCTCTGGGGGTCCCTAGGTGACATTAGGGATCTTAAAGACCCCTGATGTCTCCATAAAGAGGACCTGTCACTGAAAATTGGCTATCACAAAGGGGGCTTGTTAGTCCCCTATGTGAGAGTAATAAAGTTAAGTGAAAAAAATAGGTTTAAAAGAATTAGTTACAAAAAAATATTAAAAAATTAAAAAAGTCACATGTAGGGTGTCACTGAAGCATGTAAAGATTAAGCTGCCTTGGATCATGACTCATGAAAAATTAGCGAGTATTCTTATGGATAAAGCTGTGCAATTTGAACACACCTGGGGGGCCAAGTTGGCATATACAAGCCCTACAATAATGTGAGAATAGTAGGTAGACTATAGCCCTTACTCCACCCCAACCAAATCTGACCAAATTCAACCCAAATGCTCATCTTGAATACCAAATTTCTGTTTTTTTGGGGGGGTTTTTTGAGGTCTGAGTTTTTTCTTTTGTTTTTTGTTATGGTTTGTTGTCTTGTCTTAAGGTGTAATGTTGTAATGTGTAAAATGTATCTTTGGATGAAAACAATAAAAACTTTTGAAAGTCAAAAGTCACATATAAAGGTAATAAAAAAACATTTAAAGTCCCCCGCCCCCTTGACATGTTTGGTGTCTTTTTACCCGACGTGACCCCGTCTTTTATATTTTGCCAAAAATGTGGGTAATAATAATTGTTCTGTACTTTTTTCATTATATAGTAAAAAATAAAAACCGCAGTGGTGATTAAATACCACCAAAAGAAAGCTCTATCTGTCCCCAAAAAAGTGTATAAAATTCATTTCAGTACAGCGTTGCATGACTGAATAAATGTCAGCCAAAATACCGCAGCGCTGAATACTGAAAAATGGCCTGGACAGGAAGGGGGTGTAAACACCCCGGGCAATCCTGCATTCTGTTGTGGGAGGTGTGTTGCGTTGCCATTCATTTGAATGGTACCCCAAATGCACCTCCCACCCGCAGTTCGCACGCCCGCACCGGAACGCGCGGTACCCTAATGCTGTGCGTTCCATTGCAGCGCAACTTACCGGCCAAGGACAAATGTCGGTCCTGAGGTTACACAGGTTGAGAACCATTGCTTTAAAGCAAAGAGCATGTTTCAGGTTTGAGGTTAATGTACAAATATATATACACCGTTCAGCCATAACATTATGACCACCCGCCTAATATTGAGTAGGTTCCCCTTTTGCTGCCATAACAGCCCTGACCTTTCGAGGCATGGACTCCAATGGACCTCTGAAGGTATGCTGTGGTATCTGGCACGAAGCCATCAATAGCAGAACCTTGAAGTTGTGGAACTTGTGAGGTGGGGTGCCCATGGATCAGACTTGTTTTTCCAGCACACCCCACAGATGCTTGATTGGATTGAGATCTGGAGAATTAGGAGGCTAAGTCATCACCTCAAACCCGTTGTTTTGTTCCTCAAACCATTCTTGAACTATTTTTTTTAAGTGTGGCAGGATGCATTATCCTACTAAGAGGCCACTGCCATCAAGGTATATTGTTTCCATGAAGGGGTGTCCTTGGTGTGGAACAATGTTTTGGTAGGTGTATATGTCAAAGTAACATAAAACTGAATTGCAGGACCCAAGGTTTCCCTGCAGAACATTGCCCACAGCATCGCACTACCTCCACCGGCTTGCCTTCTTCCTTATAGTGCATCCGTGTGCCATCTCTTCCCCAGGTAAGCAACACACAGCCACCTGGACATCCACATGATGTAAAAGAAAACATGATTCATAAAATAAGACCACCTTCTTCCATTGCTGCTGTGCTCCAGTTCTGATGCTCATGTGCCCATTGTAGGCACTTTTGGTGGTGGACACGGATCAGCATGGGCACCCTGACCAGTCTGCAATCACGCAGCCCCATACACAAAAAACTGCAATGCACTGCATGTTCAGACACCTTTCTGTCTGAACCAGCATTAACTTTTTCAGCAATTAGAGCTACAGTAGCTCTTCTATTGAATCGAACCACACGAGCCAGCCTTTGCTCCCCACATGCATCAATGAGCCTTAGCCACCCATGACCCTGTCACTGGTCTTCCTTCCTTGGACCACTTTTCTGACCACTGCAGACCAGTAACATCCCTGAAGAGCTGCAGTTTTGGAGTTGCTCTGACTCAGTTGTCTAGGCATCACAGTTTGGCCCTTGTCAAAGTTGCTCAAATCACTACACTTGCCCATTTTTTATGCTTCAAACAATCAGCTTCAGGGACAAAAATTTCACTTGCTGCCTAAGATATCACACCCACTTCCAGGTGCCATTGTCCCGAGATAATCAATGTTTTTCACTTCACCACTCAGTGGTCATAATGTTATGGCTGATCGGTGTGTGTGTATATATAAATATATATATAAACACTGGAAAATTTGACCTACTTCTACAGCAGTGGGAAAAGCTGAATTGCATTGTGTAATTCCTATTATGCTATTTAAATCTGCCATACTAGAACTCAATCATGTATGTTAGCTTGAAGCACAACTAAAGTCAGCTATACCCACCTCCCCTCCAGCTATGCGATCTCCGTGAATTCCATCACCAACATTTTCACCCAGGCTTCTTTTGGGTTCAGCATCTTAAACCATCTTGATTGGCTAGCCTAGGATGATGTAACTCCCACACATGCACATGGGTGTTAATTCATCCCGTCACCAAGGCATGCCAAACATATACACTGCAATAAAAGCTTCTTACCAAAAGGTAATAATAGGGGTGCTTACAATGTTAAGCTTTTATTGATATGGTTTTACCACTTCCAGGCCGCAGTACATACATCTACGGCGGCCCGCAGAAGTGGTTAAACCAAGAACACGGCTGCTGCGTCGGTGCGCCTAGGTGCAAAAAATGAAAATTGCGATACACATGTTGTATATCGCCGCAAATGTCCAAGTGAGAGCAATAATTCTAGGGCCATCAATCACTGTTAGCACTAAACTGATGAGCTGTAAAGGTTTTAAAGTGTACCCTTTTGGAAATATGGGGTATTGAAGTTTTTTCGGGCTTCACGTGTGAACACAATTGTAAGGCTTGACATGTTTGGTGTCTATTTACCCGACATGACCCTGTCTTTTATATTTTACCAAAAAAATGGGTATTCTGTTTCTGTGCAAGTTTCATTTTAGTGTATTTTATCCTAAAAATACTGGTTTGATAAACATTTACGCAAATATTGTGTGACATAAAAAATTTCAACTAGCGTTTTTGTATTCTACAGGGCTTCAGCTTTCAGAAAATATATTATTGTTTGGGGGTTTGAAGCTGTTCTCTAGCCAAAAATTGAGATTATATCATGTGTGTGCAAATAGTAAGAAATTGCTCCGGAAAAAAAAACATTTTGAAGTCCATTTAAAACTGCATGTCTATTTTAGGCCCGGTTCACACCTGGGCGTTTTGTAGCGCGTTCTTACGCTCTGCAAAACGCTCAAACACCGAAATCCCATTGTTTCCTATGGGTATGGTTCACACCTGGGCATATTTCAAAGAAGTACAGGAGCTTCTTTGGGGCGTATTTGTCGCACGTATCTATTGGGATACAGCCAAGTAGCCCTCGGAAACGCGCGTTTGTTGCGCGATTTTTTATCACGAATCGCGGTAATAACGCGCGGCACGAAATGCGCGACAATGCGCATATTCGATACGCCTAGGTGTGAACCCAGCCTAAGACATGGGGTGACAATGCTGCTGTTCAATGTTGTTGTTGTTTTTTTTTTAACAGAATAATTTTATCATATTTGTCGTAAACACCATAAAACAAACAATACAGAAAGAAAAGCAAACTAAGTCACTATACAGCCAACAGTATATGGCACAGATCAAAGAAGGGCCACATTGAGTCATGAAGGCATAAAAAAACAGTATAAATAGGCAACTTGCCAACAGTATGCACACATAATGCAGCATAATATATTACAGGAGATGAAAATAAGGGGGGAAGGATAGGAGGGGGGTTGCCATGTTCAATTATAAGTGCGGATTGAACAGTTTTATCTTCCTATTATAGGAAGGGGAAAATAGCACCTCTACTGGCAGGATCAACAAGCTATAAAACTATGTTACGGGTGGGAAGACCTCAGAAAAGCAAAAACATGCTGTGTCAATACTAGTAAGAGACTGCAGAATATTTGTAATTTCTATATTTTTTCCATAGTTGCACTTTAAGTGATGAACACAATTATAGTCTACTGATTTCCATTCTGAACTGATTGCTGTGGAGCCCATATCCCATATTGTCTTGTCAGATGTGAATTGTGGAGCTTTTGTACAGTACATCTCTTTAGTCAAGGCATTATTGAATTTCAGAGTACCATTTTATTGGTCTACTGAGATAGTAAAATAACCCAACTGCATTGTCCCCAGGAAAGGACTCTTCATTAAGGGCAAAGCAGTGGAACATCTGGTTTCAGGAAGTATGCAGCAACAAGTGGCTGCCTTTTGTATTATTATTTTACATACACATAAATTGCTGAGTATATCCAAGCTGTAAATGACTATTGTTCTTATTTTCCTCCTTTTCTCTGCTTTTGAAGAAACTCTAGGTTTTCACACATATAGGCAGCTGGAGGTAACACAAAGGGCTTGATCATTCACTGCTTGTCTGCACTTCAACGTCCTACTGTGTCTGCAAGCAGAACAAATGGTCAACCAAGATGGGCCATCTCTGGCAAGATTGTTAGTGAATCTTGGCTTGTAATTGGAAGGAGCTTTGAGCTGGTTATTTTCAGCTTTAAGATATCTTTACCTACAGCTATAGACTACTTAAAGATTCATTATTTACCTTCATTATCCAAAAGATACAACTGCTGCTGCATTATAGCAGGCATAAAGTGTGTTTGGTGGATCTATACATTATTTTTGATAACCTAGTATGCTTAATGAAATTTTAGTTGTAATTGTCAACTTCATATATGCTAGTTAGTTATTAAATAATTATGTCATTTTAATATTCCAAAAACAATTGTCCATTTCAATAGAAAAAGCAAAGAAGAAAATAAAAAGGAAAAAAGCTGATCCCAAACGAAAAAGCAGAGAGGGCCTGAGAGGAAGTCCGGAGAAAAAAGAGAGAACGAGAAGAGGAAGCGATTCAGTTTTAGGACAACTGGGTAAATATAGTTTTGAGAAACTTTTTAAAATTGTCTATAAAACAGGAAAGAAATGCTATAATTGTAAGTGTGCTTATGCAGCTTTAAAGTGACATTAAATTCTGGATTTAAATCTTAAAACTACACTAAGTGCCTTAACTATTAACCAAACTGTACCTTACAGTATATGTGTATCACTTGGCTGTAGATCCTCAAATCATCTCTGAATTGGTGCTGACACTGTCCTTCCTTGTGGAGAGTGGCTACTTTTGTTCCCCATGGTCACTGTGTGTGTGTTGTAAAGTAGTCACCACTCCAAGCTCACTCCCTCGATGGACTACAATGTTTAGTTAGTCATTTGTATTGAGATTGTACCCTGTCACGGGAGGGAGCTGGGGCAGTGGCTACTTTAAAACACACACAGAGACCATGGGGAACAAAAGTAGCCACTCTCCAGAAGGAAGGAAGTGATACACAAGTCAAGTCAAGTGATACACAAATAAGCTCCCTTTTTCGTTAGCTCCAAACTCTATTCTGTGATGGACTACAATCTCCCATTTAGTTTACTCATTTGTATTGAGATTGTAGTCCATCACTGGATAGAGATTTGAACGTTGGTTATTTTACAACACACACACAGAGTATGGGGAACAAAAGTAGCCACCCTCCAGAAGGAAGGAGAGTGCCAGCACAAATTCAGAGATTATTTGAGGAGCTACATGTAAGTGATGCACAAATAAGCTACATTTTGTTAATAGGCAAGGTACTTGAATACATTTTTTAAGATTTACTCCTGAGTTTAGGGAAAAAGGGAATTCCTTTTTTTATTTTTCTTTAAAGGAAACTGAAAAATGGAAGCTGCTATTGTACAACTCGATGTCTGGATATGCTAGTTGCCAGGCTCTCTTGCTGACCCTGTTTCTGAAATACTTTGAGTCACTTACCTGGAGCATATGTGCAAATAATAGAGGTTTTTACTTTTTTACGACTTTCTTGTTTAACATACTTTTGAAGTCAATGACTCGAAATATATAGAAGCTAGTGGGTCAGCATAACTATCAGTCAATCCGAATGTTCAAAAAGAGGTCAAAAATAGCAGCCACGTATTTCTCACATGATGAGGACACAAGATAATTCTTAGATCACTGGGTTATACTGCCACCTTTAGGATATTGGACACTGGCAAATCCCAGTATAACCTCTCCAACTCCCAACAAGCCCCAGTTTTTTTATAGTGCCCTTGAGAGATGGACCCTGTTTATAGATGGCCTAATGTAACCTAGGCCATTAACCTTTACTGTTCTGCAGTGGTCTATACTTAACCCTTGTTTGTAAAATCTCCCTGTTTACTGTTTGCACAGCGTCATATGGGAGCTAATATGGCCTTTGTCCCCTCCTGCTCCACAGTGGATCCGTTAATAATCCTTGTTGGTAATGTCTCACTTGTATACTGTTTGTACAGTGGCCTCTGGCGACCTTATCACCCGTGGCCATTGACCCCTATTGCTCTGCTGTTGGTCCTTGATGGTACTGCCTAACTGTTTTCAATTTGCACAGTTGCCTAGGTCACATATGTGTTTTATCCCCTCTTGCTCCACAGTTGGTCTGTGGGTATCCCCTGTTGGTACTTGCTTACTTATTTAAGGTCTGCACAGTGACCTACGGTGACCTAGTCACACATGATGTTTTAACACCTTCTGCTTCACAGTTTGCCTTTAGGTAACCTTTGCTGGTACTGTCTCACTTGCACTTCGTTTGTATGGAGGCCTGTGATGACCTAGTCACAAGCAACCATTGACTGCTTCTGCTCTGGGTTCATAAATACATCTTGTGGGTACTGTTATACTTACATGCCCCTCCCACTCTGCATTGCTCCTCCTGCCCCGCAGTTGGTCTGCTGGTACTAATTTAATTGCATATTGTTGTATGACCTAGTCATACCATTCATACTAGTCATGCCATTATCTCCTCCTGCTCTTCAGCTGGGTTGTAAGTTCGCCTCTATGGTAAGGTCTTGCCTGATAATCAATACTATTAGTATGCTGCATCTTGAGCACAGACTTTACACTTCCACATTTGGACTCTTCAGTTCAGGAGCTGACCCTGCATTTTTGCATGAGGGTCTTGGGTCTAAGGGTGTCCTTCTTGGAGGCAGGCCTATGTACTTTCTTCATCCCAAACCATTGCAACTCACCATTCTGGCAGAGTGGGACAAGATGGTGTGATCTCTGGATTGTCCCATTCATCTGTCTAGCAGGGTCAGACTTGTGCCCTGGCGTAGTGGGTCACACGTTCAACGGAACTAGAGAAAATCCTTACTCCTAATGGTTTGGTAGATGCTCATGATGAACTGGTTGGGACGTAGGGGGAACCCTCTCAGCACAATTGACCTGATCGACAGAGGAAACAACAATCATTTCAGAGCTCAGGACAATATGGCTATCTCGTTAACACTGGACCTCTCATCTGTGGGGCCATCCGACCAAGATTCAGTCAGTCCTTTACCATGGTGATAACTTATATCCACCCTCAGAGAGAAACTTGATGTTCCACAGACAATACATGGAAGCGGATCTGCTTCTGATCTGTTCGAGTTTATTTTGCAGCTGCTACTCCTTCTGCTCAATCTGGATCTCTGTTTGCCATCCCGGTAGGTCCCCATAGGAAAAAAACAACTTCTTGTTGCAACTTCATTGGAGGATTCTACAGCTCCTTTTCCCGGCAAGGCTCCTCCTTTTCCTTTTGTGGATATAATCTGTTTCCTTGTCTTCTGCTTTTATTGCTCATACCAGATGAACGTTCAGGCCTCAGCTGATAAGAGCTTTATCCATAAGGTTCTTCAGATGGCTCTACAGGTTTCTTTAGAGCTACCTCTGTTTCTGTAGGGTTATGGGCTTGTTGGCTTGGTTGCTCTGTTGCCCATCCCTCAGTTGGACTGCTTTTGGACATACCAATGATCTAAGAAGATCCTTCTGTGTCCTTTGATTTTGAATTGAGAAAATAGGATGTTTGTCTTAACTGTAATTTCATTGTCTTCAGGTACATCACAGGACACAGGTCCCTCCCCTTTTTTCTCTTGTAAACCACGTCTGATTTTTTTTATGCTACAAAACTGGGGCTTGCTGGCAGTGGTGGAGTTATACTGGATTGTCCTTACAGCTTTAGTTTGCCAGTGTCATGTTTCCTGGAAGTACTGTATATCCCAATGGTCTAAGAATACAATCTTGTATCCTCCAAGAGAGGGATTTTTACATAAAACGTATTATTGTAACACTATTATTTCCACACTGAATTTGGCATTGTTGCACGAAACTGTGTGTGTTGAAATGTTTTTGACGTGTGGTTTACTTATTATTCCAGGTTTGTCATCATCACTCCCTATAGATGGCACATTTTTTAACAGCTGGCTAGCTCAGTCAGTTCAGATCACCACTGAGAACATGACAATGAGCGAATGGGCCTTAAACAATGGTCACAAGGAAAATAACACCTCTGGTCTTCTATCAGAAGAACTGTTACAGGATGAGGAGACATTGCTAAGCATCATGATGGATAACTCGCTCAAATCTCCTTTCACACCAATGGAAAGTGTAAAGAAGGTTAAGAACAAAACAAGATTGAATGGTAGGAAAAAACTACCAAAAAGCAGTCCTGAAAACCTTTACAGGAATCCACAGGATGACTCTACCCAGTGGAATAATACAAATAGTTTGTCAGATGGGACTGAAATACCTCCTGGCTACAACTCCAAATCAAACAAAGCTGGCAAAGGAGCTGCCAAGGTACAAACAGATCACAAAGGACCTATTGAGAAAAAGACATTGAGAAAGGGCTCTGCATTGAAGGCAGATGGTGTGCATGGTTTCTCAGATCAGAGTAATTTAAATAACAGTGAAATGACAGTAAGATACACACAACCCCAGTCTGATTCTCTTGTCAAAGTGCCTGAGACATTGGGTTGTGCAAAAACTGTGGTGAGGTTTAAATTACCAAAGTGTGGAAAAGCAAACTTGGAGACAAAGTGTGAAGGTCCAGAAAGCGCAAATGGATTTCAAGTCAACGAAACGCCCAAAGAAAACCCCCATTTAGACAATGAAACTGATGGATACTACTCAGATGCTGAGATGACTGACTCAGAGGAGGAGTCAAGTCAAGCAAGGATGCAGCTTAGCCAATTCGACCCATCAAATGATGATATTGTTCGAATGAGCATTTTGGCATCTTAATTCTTCATTTGAAATAAACTGGACAGCTCAATGATGCCTACATCAAGAGATGGCTGCCATTTCCAACGCACCTGCTCTTTCCAGAAAAGTCTTTAACATGTATATCTAGTATGTTTTACATATAGTCACATATATGTAACACATATGCAGGTTCAGCACAGTTGTCTTTATCTGCTAGTTGACACATTAAGCCTCACAGACACAGGTTGCTCTACTGTAAATGTTTAATGGTAGATTACATGCATTTGCCATTTATTGCAAGCACATAAGTTAAGGACTTGTGCTTGTTACCCCAACGAAAGCTGTTAATGGATGATGGGAAAAAGTTAAACGGGCATTATTTTATGTAAAGACAATGATGAAACATACATTGAAAGGTCCTCCCTTAATTAAAAAAAAAAAATCAATACATAGTAAAATAAGCAAAAGGATAAAAAAAAAAAAGCACAAATAATTGCTTATTTGAAGAAAGCACTTATAAGTTGGGAAAGGCAACTCAAGCTGTTTAAAGGTTTAATCATGTTCTTCTCCAACTCATTTTCTTCCGTCCGGGACGTTTTTCGTTGGCCAAAAGCAGATGCGTACATAGCAGAAGTATGTGGCACTATGAGCCATGCAAGGCTTTCCTTATCGATACATCTGCTACGTCTGCTAATGGAATGTGCAAAAATCTATTGGAAAACAATTGTAGCTTAGCCCATTAAAAGCTAGTTGGATTTACTTGCTCAGGTGGATAGACTAGGCTTAATCCCTGTGGGTTGAGCCAAGAGGGGACACTTTAGGTAATTGTTTTTTAACAAAACATTTTAAACCACCCATTCATCAATTTAAGGGATATCCTGTTCCATCAGCACTCGTGATTAGGTTACTATTAAGTTCTCATCCGTGTTTCAATCCTTTGTAACAGCTCTATGAAGATATTTACAACTGTAAATGCCATAAAGTGAGAATGGGCTGCCTCTAACACTTCCATTCTTGATGATCTATATTGCTCAAGTACCAACACACCTGAAAATATGGCTGACTTGACATCATGAAACATGTTTCTCAACTAAAGTGACAAAATTTCAGATTTCCTGACATTTTTGTCCTGACAGTTTTGTCAACAGAGATGAAGACTATAAAAAAAATCTGGATTTATCCATTTAGCACAGGGGTTCCAAATGGGAAAAAAAATGTATATAAATGCACTTAGAAAATTTGTGGATTATCCACAGTCTTACTCTAAAAGAGGATAATTTTGACAACCACACATAGATAACATGGCATCTAATGTCAGGAAAACAGGGGAAAAAAAGACAGTTAAACATTTTTGCAAATCACTTGCTACAGTGAACTGCTTTTGGCAATGCACTGGTACTCTGAGGAAATTATGCAAAGATCTGGTAACTATTCCATGTGCTAACTTCAGTGGGACACTATAGATTCCTCTAAAATTTTAAATGACATGTTTTTGTCACAAAATTCTCCTGATAAGGGTGGATATTGACTTTGAATTGCACTGTACATAACCTGTGGCATCTTGATCTTTTCCACAATAATGACTGTCAACAGCACTTCCTAGTTACTTCAAGGAACATAGGAGTTCCTACTCCGAGTAAAACTAAGGCCTTTCTCTATCTAGGAGATAGGCTGGCCATACACAGTGATTGGGTTACTGAGCCGGACCTGTGAAATGGTGCACTGAACTTCAAAGCATTTTGCCATACATATATCAATGTGCAGATGCAGTTAGTGTTATGTGCATCATATATGTTCTATCGATCAGGTGGTGAAGTTGTGGTCTCCCCCTAACACTGGCCAGTTTTCAGAAAATTAGGATGAAAACTATGTAGTTTGGCCAATAATCCCATATATGCATAGCTAAACTTATGTTCCTCACTGTTCATATAACTCGGTAATTACTATCAGTGTGCTGGTTTTTTTTTAGGAGATAATGGACCCCTTTTTGCTAACGTACAACAATATGTTTGTACCAAACTATGAAGCTGAGAGCTAATACAGCGCTTCCAATTTTGAGAACCCTTTCTAATGATGTCCATTCAGGGTCATGTCATTACAGGTGAAGTGTCCTAACTCATTTCACAGGGCTAGTACCAACTACCAACTTCAACCATTGTTTCTTGTTGTACCTAGGTTGGCTTCAAATTGTATAGATGTACATGTCTCAGGTCTTTACCTCGTTTGCACTTCAATTTTTTGAGAGATCTGTAAATTTCAAGTCAAGGTTTTTGTGTAGCCAGTTTGTGTTCTGGAAATTCGATGACAATGTAAAAATGATCACTCATTTATAGAGTAATAATAATATTGTTTAATTTAGTGTGTGTGACATGGTTTAAAATCCTTCCATATGAGGATGGAGTTGTTTTGCCTTTGCTAATATGTATAGGTGAACTCGGTTGACAGGCCCTTGATGCTTTGATGCAGCAAAAACCTACTGTTGCCAATGATGGCGCAAAAAAAAAATAAGTATTTGTTTTACAGGGATAAAACAAAATAAGCACTGTTGACCTTCAAGACGATCAGCAAATTAGCCAACACACAGTGATATAAATCCATTGTAAGCCTTAAAAATGCTTTGTGCTTCTGTCAGTGAATCATGCATGTGTCTGAACATTTCATTCTATCTTTCAACATTCTTTAAATATGCATTTGATATTTTGCAGTTTGTGTGACCCCAGGGTGAGCTCAGGGAAAACCACAGGTCATATAAATGAAAAAAAAAACAAAAAAAAGCAAAAACACAAATATGGGGCATTTCTGCGGCCTACAACCCTGTAGCTTTTCCAACAAAGCAAAATATACTTCAAGTCCGTCATAAACCATTCAACAGATGCCAAAGAATGCTTGTGCATGACTAAGAATCAGACAGACAGTTCAGACATGTACCTTAAGCAAACCATTGGGGGTAAAAAACAAACTGAAGTTATTAAAACTTGGATCATATGAGCTCACACCTAACAGTAAAAATCCCAAAAATATCTATATACATAGCTTAAACTCTGCAATGACTGCAACCCCCTGCCGTTTTATTCCACAACTCACTCCACGTCATCAGTATTGATTATATAATTAAATGCCTTTCAGTAACAGCCGAACCAGCAGCTTAAAGGGTCACAGCTATATCTTTGTATAATATCTCACACCAGTAGTTTGTTTCATACAACTAAACAGAAATATAAACAAATCAATAATTTTACTAGAAATATACCTATTATTATTTAGCAAACTGTCTGAAGAAAAAACACATCAAGCTATAACAACAAATGATACTTTCTTCCATTTTTCCATGTAGAATGTGAGGGTGATCAGAAGGATTTTTCTGACATATTGATAAATAAGATTTAGTGTTGTGTAAGATGTGAAATGATCTTGCAAGGTTACAACACGTTTTCATATTTGGATTTGTTGCCAGTAGGCAAATAAAACCAGACAGGTTCAGGTGGCTGTTAGTAGTTTGCAGAATCCAATCAATTTGGATCACAGAGCTCCTACTTTCACTATAGTGGAGCCAATGAAGGGTTTGTGTGTTCAACAATGTTATATACAGGTTAGGACTAGTTCAACTTTACATGCTTGGTAGACTTTAGATACAATTTACTAGTATAGGTTTCATACAAATAAGTAATATGCTGCATTTAATGTTCTTGCTTCTGTGTGCTTCAGTTAAACTATGGGTACAAAGCTACCCACAAACCACTGCTTCATGACCTGCTTTTAGTGTTTTTTGCCTGATCAGTACAGGAAACAAACTGGGAATTTCTTTAAAGAACAACCAGCTTTCTTTGTGTCACCTGTAGAACATTGCTTAAAGTGACATACTGAGGTGGTGGTGGTTTAGTAAATCTGGTCAAAATGAATTTAGGGAACATGCTTCTATTACCTGCCTTTCAAAGAGTATTCCATATACCTGCCAAGAGTCAACACTTTATACATATATTTTCACTGTGAACCTGGAAGTGTTTGCTCAGAGAAATGGGGACAAGGGTCAGCTTAAATTAAATACAGTATGTAACTACACTTACCTACCTCCTTGTCCAGTGTTTATGTAACCTATTTTTGAATGGATATCAGTCCCATACTCAGATGTTAACATAAAATTCTGTTAACAATCTTATAGGGATGGATAATGGAGCAATAGCGTGGCTTACTTTTGCTGGTTAAGGCTCTGCTCCGTGCTGAAAGCATAGGCTGTTGCTCACATGATCTCGGCTGAAGGAAAGAATCAGCCAATTTAAACTGACTTGCCCCTTCAACAGAGATTACATGATCAGGAGAACATCTATAACTATATATCTATCCATTAAGACTTTTAACAGAGCTCTTTGTTAACATTTGATTATAGGTCCACCATAAAGGGAACTATAATGGTTTCAGATCCATTTGTTGTTGTTTTTTAAAGGTTTATATGTTTTTAAACTGTTGTTAGGGTTGGTTGTACCTGGGCATTTGTATGCATCAGAACTGATTTTCTTTCCATACAAATCAATGGTAATTGGAAAGCAGCTCAGAAGGAGGCCAAAGCAGCTCAGAAGGAACTCAGGAGAATTCTAAACAAACCCCTAATGTAAGCTGGTTGCACTGAAAAAAGCATGCAGCATTTACCCAACTACATAACCCCTTAACTTTTTTTTTTCTTTTTGTTACATGTAATTATAGAAATATACAGGGTGTCCTATGACACCGGTGTCACAGAGAATTGTAATTTCTAAAAAGAGAGAAAAGCAGAAGCTGTTTGCTCTTAGACTGTCTCTCTATTATTGAAAATACTGCTTACTATGAGGGAGTAACTCCTCTGATCATTAAGCTATGCGTGTAAATTTGAGATTTTGCCCTATAATCAACTGTCTTGGCACTTGGCAAAGTAATTTGAAATTAAATATTTATATGCAATATATATAAAAAAAACACTTTTACAAATGTTATGGTTTTAGTTAGGAGCATAATAAAAGAAAATATTTACACACAATTCATGTACTTTAACCAGGCTAAAAGAAAATAGAAGTTTTTAATGTATTGTGGGTAAGTATTACTTACTGTATATTTCTTGAATAAAATCTAATATTTCAAAACAGTTTATACTGGTTAACAATTGAAGGGAAAACATTGTACACCATAATTTGCTTTGGCAACTAAACAACATTGCTGGTTGTTCTTTAAAGTAGATTCTGCTTAGTCTCTCCATTCAACAAATTAAACCGTATGAAATCACATCAGAGGCAGAAAACTAAATGAATGTCACAGGGGAAACACTCCTGTCTTTGTTTTTTAAGAAAAAAATAAAATTGATGTGCCATTTGTTAATATAAAGAGAAATATTGAAAATATATTGAAAAGAGCAATTATAAATTATTTTTGGCTTATGTTGCAATATTTATTTTCTTGTATTAGAAATTCCTTTGTAGACGGAAAAAAAATGTATTTTTCATTAATGCAAAGACCTATTTCTCCTTTTTGTACATTTTCCATGTTAGATGTTCCTTACAGCAATATTATATATGGGAATTGTTCAGTGTTACTGTATATGCATGCAATTTGTGTTGCTTGAACTAGTTTTGTCTGCCCTTGTTTT